TCAAGGAAAGGGTTATATATGGGGGAAACTTTCATTGTTGGTTGCCAGGGGTGGGAGGGGAGGGGAGGCAACACTGCAAAAAAAAAAAAAAAGAATGCATCAAGCCATGTCACTTTAGTTTTGTGTATTTCACTGAACATAAATTATATTTCAATACAATGCATTAAAAAAAAAAAAAAAAAACTGGCAACCGGCCATCTAGATGCAACGATGGGTCTCTCCTCATCCAGAGCAAAGAAAAATGAAGAAAACCAAAGACACATGGAAACAATTAGTCCATAGGACTGGTACACCATGCGACCCTCAGCCTATCCGACTATGAGACCAGAAGAATTAGATGGTGCCTGGCTACCACTGTCAACTACTCGGAGGGGGATCTATGTAGGAGATCCTGGATAGAGTGGGAGAACAATGTGGAACAAAATTCAAATTCATTAAAAAAAAAGGGCCAGGTTTGCTGGTCTGACAGAGCTTAGTGGAACCCCTGAGACTATGGCCTCTAGCTGCCTTTCAGGTCTGGAATTGAACCCACTCCTGTGGCTTCCAACCAAACAAAAGACAGGCATATGAGCTGAACATTTACACTAAGCAGATACACTCCTTGGAGAGATCTAACATGAGAGAATAGAAAGGCCGTGTATGTATAGGGAGACAGCTCAGGGGGCAGGAGTGCATGGGAGGGAAGGACATGGGGAAGAGGTGGCTATGGGGAGGAAGTAGGAGGAGAGCTGTATAGATACTGAGTCTCACCAATATCTCCTTCATGTCCAGGCTTAGGAATGCTAATAGACGTTTTGGTCTCCATTTCTAGTTTCTTCCTGGTATCACCCCTCTTTCCAACTATATGCCTATAATATAAAGAAATGTTTGTAAATGGAAGATTAATTTTAAATGTATTAAGATAAAGAATGACAAACCTCTGGGACCACAGTCACAGGGGACATCAAGCTCAATTGGCATAACATACTATACAAAACATTGTTCCACCTCCTACTCTCTTGAGTAGCGACTGGGATCTTAAAAGCTAGCGAGCTGCCATCTAGATGCAACAATGGGTCTCTCCTCATCAAGAAGAAAAAAGAAAACCAAAATTAATGGAAACAATCAGTCCTAGCGACTGGTACACCATCCGATCTGCAACCTATACAACTATGAGACCAGAAG